CCCTCCCCAATCCCTTAAAATAGCCCCATTTGTATCCATATCTCCCTTATTAACACCTGTTTCCTACTGTTCATCTCTTTCAGATTCTTTTTTTTTTCCTGTTCCTCCCTGGTTCCTTTTCATTATCCTGGTTCCTATAGTTATGTCTGGTTGCATACTTATTTATCAGAGTCTGGTTCTAGGATCCGCATATGAGGGAGAACATAAGTCGATTTTTTTTCTGAGTCTGTGTTACTTTACTTAGTATTAACAGTTTCTAGTTCCATCCATTTACCTGCAAATTTAATGATTCCATCTTTCTTTACTGCTACATCTTTCTCCGCTGCTGAGTAGAACTCCATTGTGTAAATGTACCTTATTTTCATTATCTACTCATCAGTTGAGGGACACTTAGGTGGCTTCCATCTCTTAGCTATTGTGAAAAGAGCAGCAATAAACATGGATGTACAAGTGCTTCTGCAACAGGAAGAGTCCTTTGGGTATATGCCAAGGTGTTGTATAACTGGGTCAAGTGGTAGGTTCATTTGCAGTTTTTTAAGTGTTCTCCACACTGCTTTCCATAAGGGTTGAACAAGTTTGCAATCCTACTGGCAGTGGATGAGTGTTCCCGTTTCCCCACATCCTCTCCAACATTTGCTATCACTTGTTCTCTTGATCTTAGCCAGTCCGATGGGGTAAGATGATATCTTAAAGTGGCTTTAATTTGCATTTTCCTAATTATTAATGATGTTGAACAACTTTTAAGATTCATAGCCATCTTTACTTCTTCTTTTGAGAGCTCTCTGTTCAGCTTCTTAGTCCATCTTTTAATTTGGTTGCTTCTTAGTCTTGGTTCTCTGTTTTTTGAGTTCGTTATGAATTCTGGTTATTAAACCTCTGTCGGATGTGTCGCTGGTGAAGATTTTCTCCCATTCTGTGGGTTTTCTGTTCGCTTCCTTGGTTGTCTCCTTTGATGCACAGAAGCTTTTTAGTTTAATGAGGTCCCATTAATCATCAATTCCTGAGCAATTGATGTCCGGTTTAGATAATCCTTTCCTACGCCTATATCTTG